AGGTAAAAAGAACAACTTGGCCAACTTTCACTTAATCTCTGTTTTCAGCTGGTATCTCCATCCCACACCTTCACAGCAGTGCCTGGTATACCTCAGTCTAGATCAGGGCTTGGCAAACTTTTTCTGTAAAGGGCCAGATTAGTATCTCTGTAGCTTTTTTTCTCCTTTCAGTGCTGGAATCAAACCCATTGAAATTTCACACACTCAATTAGTTCTCCGTAAGCACACTGTGTTTTGTTCCTAGTTGAAGTAGCCCTAAACAGAAGCACACAGGAAAATACCCATTTATTGCAAGTGCTTTATCATTGAGCTGTATCACTAATCCATTCTTTTTAAAAAAATTTTATTGGTTCTTTACCAGCCCACTGTCATTACTTAAAAAAAAAAAAAAAAAGTAAAATGAAAAAGCCATGTTTAACGCTCAGCTATGTAAAAATAGGCTACAAGGCCAATTCATCAGGAAGCTGTAGTCTGCTAATCACTGGTGTAGTCTGTATGCTTTCTAATAGATAGTTACTAGCCACATCTTGATCAAGCACTTACTACATGCAAGTTTGAACCAAGGAGTGCTTTTATAAAGTATAAAAATCTGCACCCATTTTTGAAGATCTAGTACAAAAAAAGATAATGTAAAATCTCTAAAATTTTTGTATCAATAACCTATTAAAATAATAATGTTTGATGTACTGAGTTAATTTTATTAGTAGAATTGATTTTACTTGTTTCTTTTGCATTTTTAAAAATGTGATCCTGGAAAATTTTAAACCACATGTGGTTTGCATTATGTTTCCAATGAACAGCACTGAATAAGAGTGTTCTTAGTTCAACCTATGTCAGAATAAGTCTGCAATCTCCTGTTTACGTGCAGTGGAGGAAATCTGGGTATCTCTCTACATGCTCCTACAAAGATTTTTAGCTAATTAACCTGCTTTTACCACTACCAAGTGGCTTGCTATCAAAGTCTCCACAGCACCTTACTCCTTCTCCTCTTTGGCCTGGCTTAATTTTAAAGGTTTGCTGATCTACTTACTAAGTTAACTATCACCATTTTTTTTTTTTTTACATTATTCAGAAGAAAATATAAAACTCTGTGTGTTATAGGAATTTAAAAAACAATGATATCAGTGTATGGATTGAGAAGAGTACAGAAAAGGACAATATAGAATGGATGAGTAGGGCAAGGCACAAGAGGCAAATGCCACACACAAAGTACACAGGGAAAATTGAGTATGGTATATAGAGAGAGTATCATGAGAAATGAAAGAGATACACAGAGCAGGATCCTAAAGATCAGGCCAAAAAATTACCCTGGATATGAGCATAGGAGGCAGTAAGGAATGCTGAGCAGGGAGGCAACAAGACAGTATTTCAGACACTTATTAAGGCTGGCAGAATAAGTAGTCAATCTTACCATCTCCTCTAAAAATTATACCAAAATTCTAGAATCATAAAAATGTATACTGGCTACCCTCACCCCCCAACCCTAACTCAGTGGATGGAAAGGCATTACCGTAGAAGACTGTCCTCTAAAGGAATGGAACGAGCTGCCTCAGAGAAGTTAGGCTTCTGGGGGAACTTAAGGGAGCTCAGCATTTGTGGGATCCTAAGGCCTGGTTGCTCTCCTTGACATCCGCAAGGACAGCTTTTCAAGTCTACTTGCTCTACCAATTTTCAGGGACCTCTCAGTCACAGAAGAATGTTACCAAGTAGAGCCTGGCCTCCTTAATGCAATAGGAAACCCCATGCCAAGCACTGCTATCGTTAACCCTAATTCTCTTTAGAAATAAACAGACCACTAAGGATGTCCAGATAGTTGAGTACAACTAAACAGTGTTTTAGGAGGAAGACAACTCAAGCAAAGGAAGAGAAACAAGAGTTACTGAAGGTACAGCCATGAATATAGTACAATGCCATGAACAAGGAACTAGTACAAAAAAGGAAAGGACCTTAAAGATCAAAATTTCAATGAAAGAGATACTACTGTGTTGTTCAATGTCCCCCATGAACCACATGTAGCTACTGAACACTCACAATGTGTTTAGTCTAAATACTTTAAATGTAAAATACTGAATTTTGATGAATTAGCATAAAAATACAATGTGAAGTATCTGAATGATTTTATAATTATTTCACATTGACATGATATCTTTTATTTTTATTAGTATGGCTTCTAGTGAAAAAAATAATATATTGCTGTACTGAATATTGCTGGCTTAGAATACAAAGTTCAGAAAACTGCCAAGAATACAAAACAAAAATAGGTAGGAAATGAGAAATGATAAGTATCATAAGAAGATAACCGAAAAGGTCCAGAATTTGACCAGTAGAACAAAATAAACAACCAAGGAAGAGGGAAGCCCCGCCAGCAGAGAGAGAGGGAGGGAAAGAAATAATAAAAGCAACAGACTTTTTTAAATTCTTGAGTTGTAGATGAGTCTGCAAATGGAAAAGGTCCACCAAGTATTGAGCTATAATGGAACTATGGTCTAGCCACATCTTTGTGAAAACTCAGACTACAATGGCTAATAGGAAAATTTAGGAGGATTCCAGGAAAGGAAAAAAAAAATGATCATTTGCATGAATAAGGACAAAGATTTACTGTCAGTTACAAAAACACTATAATTGCATAAATCTTGAAAATAATTTTAAAATGATGATGGCTATAAAATCAGATGATGAAATGAGGTAAGAAGGATTAAAAAAAACATGTGGAATAACTGTGCTCCTCTTAGAGTAATTAAGAGATATCTTCTAAGGTTAAAACACAGATTTCTACTTGAGTAATTCATTTTTTTTTTAATTTAGTTATTTGAAGATACTGAGGATTAAACCCAAAGCTTCCCACATGCTAGGCAAGTGCTCTACCACTGAGTTATATCCCCAGCCACTGGTTCTATCTGGGGGGAAAAATAACAGAATGAAAAATAATAATTGCCATTAATTGCGAAGAGAAGAATCCCTCATTTTTCAGAGTGAAGAGTTAATTGCTACTATCAATATATGTGATCATTCAAAAAGCAAAACATAAATAGAGTACATTTATACAGTACCTTCTTTACCCTATTTTATGCCGCTCTAAACTGTTTGAGATTATCTATGCCGTGTGCAAGAGTTTAAGAAAAATTAACATGACAGTAGTAAGCAGAAAGAACTGAAAGGTTAAAGACAAAAATCAAATAGAAAATTATAGCAATACTTAAGAGAATAAATATTAGAGAGATGAGTAAGAAGAATGTCAGAAGAATAAATCCATCATAAGGCTTTTAGGGTATGGTTAAATAGGTACAGTAAGCAATGATAATTATAGTGTTTCTAAGCTGAAATTATTGAGAAGAAAAAATTTACATTAAAGATGAAATCATAAGAGTTTGAACTGAGGTGTCAGTAGGCAATCCAAATGGATGAGCTCTATAATAGGAATTGTCACTGAGGATCCATTGTCAGAATTCAGGGGATATGTGACTCTGTTATGGCACACATGTTTTTGTATATAATTATATAGCTACCTGAAAAATAAAGGGCTAGATGGGGAGGGTAGTGGTCTATTGCTTTCAATAAATTTTCTGAAGGGTCCATGGCACTACTCTGTTTAAAATTATGAGTCTGGATTTCATGCAAATGATCACAGCTAGAGCTATGGATTTGGAAGTCAACAGCAGAGAAGTGAGTATTAAAAGGAAACTACAGTACCCAACTGCTATGGTTTGGTTATTGTTTAAATGTGCCCCCTAAAGGTTCATGTGTTGGAGGCATAGATAGCATCCAGGGTGGTAGTGTTGGGAGATGATATAGACCTTTAAGAAGGCGGGCCTAATTGGAGGTTCTTAGGTCAATTGGAGGCATGCTCTCAGAAGGGATCAGGGAATTCCAGTCTCTTTCTGGCTTGCTGTCTAGCCCTGTGATCTATTCCTCACATACATGCTCCCAACATTCTGTGACAAAGCCAAGAGAGGAGGTCCCCTCACTAGAGATGAGTGGAGCTCAGTGCCATGCTTTTAATAACAAAAAAAAAAAAAGAATCTCTTAAAATTTTTCATTTTGTTTAAAAATGGGACCTTACTTTGTCTAGCTCAGTTTTAGTTACCTGAATTTTATAAAACAATTTTCTTATAAAGTAGCTTTATAATCAGACTCGAAGCAAATTCAGAAAAATTTACATCTAAATGAGGTACTATAATTTCAAATGTATTTTTAGACTGCACTGAAATGATGAAGATAATGTAACCAACCTTGTTCAACTAGCATTTAGTTATAAACAGAATGATTTTGTATTTGCCTACTAAAACCTTATAATATCTCAACAGCAATGCTTTTTAGAACCAGTCAACACTATTTCAACTTTCCAGTGAAAGTGGCCATGTAAAAACCACGCTGGTCACAGACTACTTTTTTTTTAACATTTATTTTTTAGTTATAGGCGGACACCTATAACTATGTAATTTTAATTTTATTTTTATGTGGTGCTGAGGATTGAATGCAGTGCCTCACTCATGGTAGGCGAGCGCTCTACCTCTGAGCCACAACTTCAGCCCCTGGTCACAGATTACTTTATAACTATACTTACTGAAGGGTAAAGACATTTTATAGACTGTTAAATGTATTAAAAATATTTTAAACATACCATGGGTATGGTTTCCACAAAAAAGTAGTTAAGAAGTCTTAAAACATCTTTTGTGTTCAGCATGATAAATATCTGACCACTTATTAATGATGATTCCCAAATTTACTAACATTAATAATCAAAGTTGTGATTTGGAAAGATATAAATCTGCTTTCCAATAATTAGATGTTCAGAGGCTGGGGTTGTAGCTCAGTGGCAGAGTGCTTGCCTAGCATGTGTGAGGCACTGGGTTTGATTCTCAGCACTACAAATAAGTAAAAAATAAAATAAAGGTCCATTAACAATAAAAAAATATTTAAAAAAATAATAATCGGATTTTCACAGTGTGGTTTTCTGCAACAGAAAGGTAAAAATACAAACAATTAACTTGTGAATTTACCTTCTCTGAATTTCCAATTCTTCTTGGGATGGACCATTTTGAACTTGAGCAGGTAGTTGTGAATTTTGTCTAGGCAATGTTGGCCCTAGAAAGGGAGGAAAATATTACAGATGAACATTATCTTTACATCTAGCTGGACAGAGGAGATAAAATCATGAGAGTAACATAAAACCATCACATATTTACAAATGTATCTTCTTTTTGTCTAGCAAAATAAAATATAAGCTTTACATAACACACAGCAAATGAAAGACTGCAACATAATACTGTCATCATCTCCAGAAGGCTTACTTGAAACAAATGAAAAACATCAACAATAAGGGAAAAATAAACATTTACATATGAAGAGCTTGAGTAAAACAAGTGTTCAATGAGCATCTGAAGAGGCACCTAAGCTTGACATTTTCTAAGACAATGAGACATTCTCTTTGGGGTAATTATTTATGAAGTGGAGAAGGAGAACTTAAATGAAAAATCAGAATTAAAAAACTCACCTAAATAGAACACTGGAAATGAAAAACAGGAGAGAGAGAGCATGAGAACCTTATTACTAGACTGCAGTATGCTAATGCATTTATCAAATTTGCCCAATTTAAGCTGCCATTTTTCTTTAATGGCCTGGCATTTCCATTACTGGTAAAAACAAACATTGCTAAACTTCCATATAATAAATTAAACTATTTATCTGAATTTCTTAATGTAACACAGGTAATCTTAACTTTTCATTTGGGGTAAGAAGGAAAAAAAATGAAACCTGCATTTACACCAACATGGTTCTGTCATGTGAAAATAATGACCATCCATTCCCATATATTATGTACAATGCAGATCCCATCTTAGCATCTTAGATAGAATGCCTCTAAATTACTGGACATCTTGATGTCACTGGATATAAAAATTAAATAAGATAAATGCTGGACTTAATATAATACACGATGCCTAATGTTAAACTAGAACAATCTTGAAATCCATCTCAGTAAATAACACAACAAAGAATTATCTTCTACTCTTGGAGAGTAGTATAGATAAATTCTATATATATATTTCTGAATTCTAGTGTGCCACCAAATGCCCCTACCACAGATTCTGAAAGACTTTTGTAAATCATTAGTATATTTTTTAAAAAAGCTTTTACTAGTAAATAAAAGCAAATTACTATAATTTATGAGCTAAGAGCATAACACATCTATTTTATATTAGTGGAGTAGACTTTGAAACTAGAGGTAAAGATCCATCAGGATGTAATACAGTTATGGTATAACCTAGGTACAGAAAACAGAATTAATTTGTTTTGAACTTACCTACCAACTTTTTTCCCCTCATCTCTTTACAAATATTTTTAGACTGATCATTTAATTTACCCTCTTACAACTTAAATGACAACTGCCGGGATATTTTAATTAGATTTCCTAAGAATCTGCTATTTTGAGATCCAAATAAAGGAAATACAGAAATATATTAATTCCACAAAATCAGTAACCACAACAAAAAAAGGTTTTAGAAACCAAAATTAAATACACTTGCGTCTCTGTATAAATAAAAATAAATAATTATTGTCTAGTAAACAGACTAGAACGTGTTCCTTTGCAAATTACCATGATATATATTTTAAAAAGACTGTCATATTAAGCCATGTTTTCATGTTTTATATTTCACAGGTTACAGGGAAAAGATATTTCTGGCAAAAGGATGGGGACATACAAGGTGAGAGGGTAAATTTGAGAAAGCATATAATCTAGGGAGGGATGTACTCTCCACATCCAAAGTTATATTTGCCCCAAACTACTAAATGCAAGCATGTGGCACAGCCAACTTAAGACAATTATGGTTTAACTAACTTTTTAAAAAATAATGTTTGAGTATTTAAGTGAAAATCTCAAGTTATATAAATAATACAATAGCTGAATATCAGCAGGTTAGACTTGTTTGGCAATTCTAATAGTTTTGCTCACATCTAAAACAGGTATCCTATCTCAACAGTAATATTAATGGATTAAGTTCACTAATTCAAAGTTTAAATTTTAACTCAGATATAATAATAAATTCAAGAAAAATGTCAAATTTCAACTCAATCCTATTGATTTTATTAAAATTAACACATCTGACATTAACTCATAAAACTGAATAAAAAAATCATCGACTTATAGAACCTGTTTTGAATATTTTTAAGGCTTTTTAAAAGCATACTAGGTACAACCACTTAGAAAGGAGGTTTTCAAAATATGGGTAATATTTTGTGGGTCCTATTACTGATATTTTTTGGTCGTAAGAAGGAAAGAAAAATTTCCTTGAAGTTTTTTAAACTGGTGAGAAATGTGATCCAACAACAACTCTTAAAATTCTTTGCTATATGGTTCTTTGTGACACTGGGGCATTTGTCTTTCAGAACATTCTTAAATGGAGAAGGAATCCCTCCCTGTGGTATTTTCTCACATTTGTATTTTAATTTGGCTGTTTTGTTTGTTTCTTCTTCATTAAAATTGTCAAGGTACAAAAACTAGCACATTGAAATTTATGTGCATTTAAAATTAATATAAACATACTGTAAATGTTGAATAAAAATTTCAGGTAAATTATAAAATACAGATAGGAATTACATTCTAATGGATTATGAATCTGGTAAATAATACCAAAGGCACTGAACCCGACTATGAAACAGCAACTAAGATTAGGCAAGGGTGTCAGCTGCTACCATATTTTCTAGACTATAGCTATTACTATACATAGGTCATATTCCTAAACGGGTATCTGTGTCCTCATAAAATACAAAATAGGCACTGTCATAAACATCTTGGTGGGCAAATGACAGTATTTTATAAGCATCATGTAATGGTTAACAGCTCTCTTTTAGGAAAAATAAAGAGAGAAGAAACAACCAAGGTTAAGAAACAAGTGGTCCTGCTTTGTTTCCACTGTCAATCATGAACAGCAACAGCAGCTGTTTGGGGGTTCACTCTCTCCCTAATTTATAACCAGAGCCAAAGACACTAGCTGATCTTAATTTGTCCAGGCTAGAAGAAGATATACAGCAAAGTTTGCAAATTACTGTTTCTAATAAAGAAAATGTGGTAATATCACTGATAAAGTATCCTAGAAATGATGGAAATCTGTTTAGAATCTCTCTCTGAAACATGAGTGGCATTTCAGTCTTGCCTACAATATTGAGTTTTGGCTAAAGCTATTTCATTTACTGTCCCATTTTTATTTTCACAAATCTAGTTTCACACTTAGCCACAGACTATTTTAAATCACCGACTAAAAGATGAATGGTCCTCACAATACAATCAAATTTAAACTTAGCAAAGTGGTAACTATATTGTTTTACACAGTTAAAGATGATAATGAGGAAAATCTGCTTTTTAACCACTGTTTCAGAAAAAAATTTAAAAATCACCTTTATTAAGGCCAAATTAATCTTTTCTCTGCAACTGGATAAACTGCTATTCTGCATGTGGACCTCAAATTCTACAGCAGAAAGTTAGGTTATTAAAAATGAGTTGAAGAGACTCCTAATAAAACAAATATCAATAACCACTCACGGCTAGTTCAAAAGCTGGCCTGGAAGAAGCCTCCAGAAGAGATGAAATTTCAGAAATAAAGTTACTGATTAAATGCTTAAATCTGCAATGTTTTAAGAGAGGTTTTATAGTGCTGGGATTGTGGCTCAGTGGTTGAGTGCTCGCCTAGCATGCATGAGACCCTGAGTTCGGTCCTCAGCACCATATAAAAATAAATAAATAAAAACCAAAGGTATTGTGTCCAACTACAACTAAAAAAATAAATATTCAAAAAAGAAAAAGAGGGGTTTTATAAAAGCCATACAAATGGGCTCACAGATGCTAACTGTGTCACCTGAAGCAAATCTAAACTAATAATTTTAGATGATTAAGAAGTACATTAGAATTCTCTTTTTATAATTTATAACGTGCTTCTTTGCCTAAACTTTTAAGTTCATAAATTTTAAAATCATTCTCTTTAAAGAAACAATATCAGTAATACTGAGGAACCACATTAAAAATTCTGAGTCACATGGATAAAGTACATACATGGAGTTGAACTGTTAACACAAATTTGTTGTAGTATATCACTTCATAAGTTTTATCTCTCTCACAAAAAAATCTGGCTAGTCAAGGTATACATGAGTCAAAAAGGGGTATATGCGCATATGTGCGTGCTGTGTGTGTGTGTATAAACTCAAAGAACTAAGTCGCTTTTTGGAACCTGGGTTTTCAAAATAGAGTTTCAGAATCAAACAGTGATAAAAAGAATTTAGACAAGAACCTCTCTCTTTTTATCTTGTATGAAGGTAAGAAAAACATATATATATACACACACACACCACACATATTTGATTTTCTCTAATTTGGGGCAGTTATATGACATACCTACATTGTCTATACAAATAATACATATCTACAAATGTGTATATGAGTGTGAAAGAAAATACTGAGAGTAAATTCACTAAGCCACAGATCTCAACTGCTGAGTAAAGACTCAATCAGAAATAAACCTACTAAAGCAATAAGTTTACATCTGCCTCTTACAACATGCACACCTAAAATTAATTCAAGTTAAGCAAAAGCTCCTTTTGAATAAGGCACATTTACATACCTCAAATCATATTAAAATGAATATATTTTCCTTAAATTCTAAGTTAAAAGTTTGTTCCCAAACAAAAGAGTTAAAAATAAAAGTAAACAAACAAAAGCCCCCTCTCATTTGTGTTGGAAGAGGTAGACAAAAATAGTTTTAAAATCCTAATTCTAACTAAATCCTAACAAACCAACTAAAAAGCTGACCAAATCACCTACATGAACCACAACAAATATCACAACATAAAAACAGCTTGCTATAATATCCCAAATACCACAAACCAGACCATGGCCTAAGGAAACAAAAGTTATGGAAATGTGCAAGTAGTATGTACCACAGCTTGAAAAAGTAAATGTAAACATAATGTTGCTTACCACAGAAAATACATCGCAAATTAGTGCTGTCCTGGGTAGCAGTAACCTTGCTCTGGGCTGCAACAGACACCTTGGTGTTAGAAGCTTCAAAGGACAACGGGGCCATCTGAAGAACTTCACATTAACTAAAAGGTGCTTTGAAATGTTCAAAATGTATTTATACATACGTCCTATCTAGATTCTCATCCTGGAAGCTCTGTAATTTAATAAAAACGTATCCTCTTTAACATAAACTCTTAAAAATAATTTATATGTAATGTTATTTGTGGAAGACCCTAGAATAAATCATAGATCAAATGATGTGCTTACAGCTTAATTATTTCCTGAGTTATACAATCAAAGAGGGCAATATGCATTTTAGGATTATACTGTTTTCAAGTTAATGAATTACAGGAAGTCAACATCTATGGCCATCAGAGTTAATTTCATAAGGACTATTCTCCCCCATTTAGGAGAATTACATCTGGAAAAAAAATTTAGGGAAAATACTTAAGATTAATTTAACATATTAATGCATTTCTACCAGTTGGAAAATGATCAATGGCATTATAAACAGCCTAATGCAATTAAATAATTGTATATTCACTAACATAAAATATCTTTGTTTGCTTTGCTCTTTGAAAAAAAAATAAACTATTCATCGTTTACCAAGCACATTTTATTGTTTCTTCTTTCTTCATTATGTATACATACTTAACAAAATACCTTATAAAAATGTGTAGCTTCATCAAATAGGTAATTTTCATTAAAATTTTAGCTTAAGTGTCAATGAAGTCAATTCTTTTTAGGAGAAACAACTTAAAAAAGTGATAATTTATGAAAAGGGAAATAGCTTGTCTGAAATCAAGGTGATACTCAACACTGGGATTGAAAAAAACAAAAGTAAAATATACTTTCTTACTATTACATTAGTGACATCTAAAATGTTACTCATAATTCTCTATAAAGTCTAAAGAAATTCTTGTCAGCACAGGAAAGATTTTCTTTTTCCTTCACTATTAATCAAGAAACCATTAATGGGTTAATAATATATTGGCTTAAGAAAATCACATAAAAGCAATCACATAAAATGGCTTTAGGCTTTCCTAAAGCTATTTTCTTTAAATAATACAACTTCTAAAAAATTCTAAAAAATTTCAGTAGAATCAAAAGCAAACCAATTTAAAGAATGCACATGTGAAAATAGTAAAGTCTTAAATTCAAGAAAAATTCTTCATTGTTTTTAGAAATAGACAATATAACCCAAATAAGTCTTGCTTTAAAAATATTACATATAGCAGATATTCGCACACACAAAATAATACTAAAAAATGTCAATTTTGCTAAATACTTCCAAGCATCCAATCTATTATTATTAAAGTTACATGCACAATACTTATAATAATAAGATATAGAAAGACCACAGACATATCTATGTCTAGCAAGCTAATAACACTATACCAAAGGAAATAAACATTCTAGAAACATTTTGATAAGTTTAGACAAACTGCTTTTTAAAACCCTGTCTTACTAATGTTTATAATCAGCTACTTCCATAAAACTTTTATTAAATAAACATGCCTAGTTTACAGGTTTTATTCTTTAGTTCCTTTAATTCATATTTAAAGGAAAAAAACCACATAAGGACAATTTTTTAAAACTTACAAGAAAAACCTGAGAGAGTATCTCGTTTCTGACAGCAAAGAAACTGCCACATCCCATTACTAATCATTTTAGCAAAAAGTCATCTGACAATTGTCAGAATGCAGGTATACCATTATTATTGCGTTATGATAAAACATTGCTAACCAAGAACTTTCAGTCTTTTTCACAATTTAAACTATTTAGCAACATTCTTGCATTTGGTATCCTTAAGCATCTTCTTTCCACTGATTTTTACTTCCTACTAGCAAGTAAAATATTGATCTTCATTCTGATAAGGTTGCTTGAATTCTACTGCAGTTTGCATTTCCCGAAGATACTAAATTATTCATTCCATCATATGCATAAGGCTAACCACACTTCCTGCTTAATATTGATACCATTATTAACTCTTTCTTCACTCAGAGGAAAAGGGTAGAATAGGAAAGAAGATTCATTGTCCAGGTTGAGTAAATTCAGTAATATGATTTCAGCATAGTATTAAGCTAACACTGATAATCCATTTACCTTACATTTTACTAAAGAAAGGACATTTCTCTTTAAATTAGTCATATTATAGAGGCTTAGTGCTGACAGAAATTAGGGTGAGCCACAAAAACAAACATAACTAAGGAGATTAGAAAAGTACATTAATATTGGAAAAATGACAGACTGTTTAGACTTGATCATTATTACTATATTTTATTACTGAATATAATTACTACAGTAGACCCAGGATGTCCATACTTTTAACATCAGAGGTTTCTACTATTAGCAGTTATACCCAAGGCAATCTGCAATGGGGATATTACCCATCTCAGCTTTTATTCTGCAGATTAAGTGAGATAAGGTTTGCTGAAGAACTGGTTTGGATTTGATTTGCAATCTCTAGAAAGCTGGTCTACTAGGTAAGTGAACCTGAAATCAGCACCCAAATTAGTGGTGTTCACACTTCTGACCATCATAAGGCTCCCAGGAATTTCCCTCATGACTGAAAAGAAGTAAAAGCAAAGGTCTGTTCTAAGTTATCTGGAACAGAAGGGAGACAAACACCACAGTTCTGTGGTTGCCTACATCAAAACAAAAATAAACAAGGCAGGTACCATATTCTAAGGCACTGTGCTAGGAGATGTGAGAATAACAAATACTAAATTTTATTCAAAGCAATAAGCATTTTAAACCTGCATTTTGAGACATTTTTGTAACTATTACTTCAAATTTTGCTTCAAAACATGTATACTTTTTAATTAAGAAAAAAAAAAAAAACCAAAAAACTTTCCCTACTTCAAGAAATGGAGCATCTAGCATTACTGAGAATTTCTCTTATTTGTTTTTTCCTCAATCTTATGCAAAACTGAATATCTTATGCCAAACTGAATATATGTTTGGGCTTTACTCCTCCCTTGTTTCTGGTACTCATCCCCAACTTAGGGCTTCAAATGCATTTTATTTCCTTCTAAGCAAATATGACAATGATGGCTAATCGGCTGATAAATTGCTGGTTATTATGCTGCCCTGGCAATCAATAGTCTTATGCTCCTCAGTCTACCTCTGTTTTGTAAAGCATTTATTTTTAGCTGTGGAATGGATGACTTTGCCTCGAGCTAAAGAAACTTTGAGAAAATTAGAAGTGGAGGAGCCTATAAAACAGTCATATCCTAACAGTTCTAAAAAGCAAAAGTAACCTGTGTCCCTATTCAGTTCTCTGCTTCCTCATCTTAAGTACAGATCAAGACCTGTCCATCAAATCTCCTTACAATGCCCCCTTGTCTTTTGTTACTAAAGACATTGCTTAGTATATACTCAAAGAACACACTACATTCTGGTAGAATGCTACTTTAACAAACACAATTAGCTTCTCACAAGAGAATGTTAACTCTCTAACCAGTGCTCAAATAGAAATGTAAGACCCTCCTTGCCCCTTACATTTTACTCCTACCATTTAAAACCAACTTCCAAATCCTGTCAATGCAAACTCCTAATTTCTCTTTCCAAACTCTCTCCATTCTATCATTCTTGTTTCATGTTTAGTAGCACTCAGTGGTACGAAGTTTAAACTGTATTGGGGAAGGAAAGGAACTAGTAACACTTCTGTTTTTTTTAATTTCTTCTACTGTTTTTATTTTTGTTTTTATAATATATGTAATGTCAACACCAACACATACACACACACACACATACACACACACACACATATATACAAACAATAACACATATTAGGTACATACTTCAGAAATTATGAAGACTGCCAGCCAAGACAATGTCAATAGCATCATCTAGTTAAGATATCTATTCGAATCTTAGTATCCGTCTCCTTTCCCACAGCAGCCAATGACACTTTAATAACTAAACCAGATCCCATCATCCTCCTCAGCAAAAGTTTTTTAATCATTTCCACTGCTTGTAATGTAAACCCTTTCTGTGCAGGATATGATTCTGCCTATCTCATCTCCTTTGCACTGCTCTCTATGCTTTAGTTCACTGTCCCTTCCTCAATGTGCTATATGCTCCTCCCTCCACAGGGCAGTTTTCATACATGCACATCCCTTCTGTCTCTGATTTTTCTCTTGGGCAACTGGCATGCTTCTTTTCTGGATCAGCTGGAACTTTCTGGCAGTCAACACTCAATCAGAGTTACTATTAACCCTCAGACAACTGTTTTGCCTCACTTACTAGAAGTTCTTAGTTCCGACTTCACAACTTTTTTCCCTATCAGCCACTTCAAAGGTCTGAAAGGAAATAATATTAACATAAAATTGGATAATACCAAATTTTATAAAAAACATAAAGAATATGTCTAGAGATAGGATAAAAGTTTTAGTTTAATATTAAAATTAGGATAATTAGTCCAAACTTATATTTGGGCAAGAAAGAAATGAGAGTTCATTTTGCTTTTTTTTATTATTGATGAGTGTGGATGAATAGAGAAAAATCTGTGGTAGCCTACAAAATTAAAGTTTTTTGGGGGAAATAATAAAAGCACCCAATTCTGTGGTGGTGGGAGGAGTATATTCAATGATGAGGATGCCTCAGATCATTTTAGAGAAAAACACAATTTCACTCTTACATTCACTTATAAAGAAATAAACCGAATTTAACTATGAAAAGTATTTGCATTGTACAAGTATAAAACAAAGACTTTCAAAGACCATGTCTGCTTTTTGCTATTTCTATATGAGGGGGAAAAAAAGAATTAAGAGAACCGAAAAAGTCTGAAGTTTCTAATTCTCTTAACTAATGCTCTTAGATGGGGAAAAAAAAAATGAAGGCAGAGGAGGTAGGGCAATTCTGGTCAACAAAACTGAGCTTGGGGACTAAGAGGAAAAAACCTCAGAGATTTCACAATTTGGCTAAGCAATCATCTCTATTTATATTCAATTTTGGCATAGAAAACTGCTACACAGTTCTCCTTTTCGCATTTATAAAGTTCTTAAGAC